AATGATCAAAACATGTACGCTAGGTAGGTAGGTAGGTAGGTAGGTAGGTAGGTAGGTAGGTAGGTAGGTAGGTACGTGTGTGTATGTATATGCATATGTATATGTATATTCATGCAGGGAGCCAAAGATATGTATGCGTGTACTTACGTATATGTTTATGTATATGTGTACGTATATGTAGATGTAGATGTAGATGTATATGTGTATCTGTAAGTACATATATACACACATATGTAAGTATATACGCACAACACACTACCTCTCTCTCACACATACATACATACGCACTCTCACACATACATGCATAAAAGCATACATACATTATACATACATATCTTAGGGAGCGGGTCAAAACCTTCTGGTTTGTAACAGGGCCGGGGCGCCCCTTGCGCGACAAAGTTTGTAACAAAAATGGGTTTTTTGCGACAAGGCTGGCGCGACAAGGTCCATCATGTGGCAGTGCCACGCGACAAAGGACAAAGCCGGCGCGACAAGGGTTTGTAACAGAGGGGGGGGGGTGGGGCCCCGCGACAACACGGGGTATTGACCCATGCCCTATGTACATATATATATATATATATTTATATCTATATCTATATACACACCCATGATACACAGTCCCCCTCGCCATCCCCACCCCCTTGCTCAAAAAAATGCGCCTCAGATATCTCGCTGTGCGCACAGATTCTTCTTGTTTGCTGACGCTTTTCATTGAACTCCATCACGTACCATGATGCCTGCTTTATTCCTTTTCTATGTATACCGGGGCTAGGGCCTCATTTAACAGGCTAGCGAATGTAAACAGTATAGTTCGCCTGTTATCAGTTAACATTCCAAATAAACAATGCTTCTCTGGATTCTTCAATCAGCAGCTTAGCCGAACCACTGCTCATGCCAAGTTCATGTTTCCTTCATTTCTTATGCCCTATGCACATCAGAATCAGAGCATTGCCGTGTCACCAGCTAGCTAGCTCAAACTACATCCCTAAGTATTTGTTTTTTGTGGGGTTCTACTGACCTTAGTTGGATGATCAACTATAGTTGGGTTAATTCGTCCTGAATTCAGCAAACCCAAGTAAGAGTGCATTGCAAAGCTAAGACAATTAGTTTATCAGCCTGACCACTAACGTCAACTTGATCAGTTACTTCGTGGTTCCAGTAGAAACCATGCTTCCTGAGTTTGCATATTCATGCCACGTACATTCTTTCATAAAAGGCCCTATGTGTGGCTTGTAAACCGCTCATATAAGTCCCTTTTGCATGCTCACTTAAATCATCCTGTGCATACCACACACCCCCAAATCGGGCCCTCCGTCCTGTGTACTGCTTCTCACGGCGCCAGAAATCGTTTCCCTTGTGGCAGGATTCAGAGATATCAGCAGAATCTTTCTGTCAATGAACTCGCTGGATTCGGACATTTTGAGGCCAAACTAAGGCGGCACCACGCGCACAGAGCCCGGTATCACGCAAAGCTTTCGCAATGTTTTCTTGAACTAAGCTTGAATTAACTCCTGACATAAAGAAGCTACAAAATTCGATTAAACTAGTTCAGGATTCGATGCCTTCTAAACACAGGCTCAAACTTGCGAGTTCCTTGGTTTCAGTTGTTGCAATAAACAAGATTCTTTTGAGCCATCGCCTGGCAAACTAACCAATTACTATAACTCCTCAAAGAAGTAAAAGAGCACGGGAAAGAGAGCTTTGATGTGATGTCGTGATGTGTGCTGCTGCAGCCTTCGGGAAGGCTGATTGCAAAATGCATGGAAGCAGGATGAAGCAGGTAAGGGATTGTTCACGTACGAGGTTTATTTTCTCCTAAGCATGTTGTTTTCGAAAGGTCTTTCTCTCTCTCTCTCTGTCTCTCTCTCTCTCTCTCTCTCTCCCTTTCTCCGAAAATGTAAGTTGCTGTGCGTATATGCTTTGCTGCCCCGACACACATACATACATACAAACAGAGACAGGCAGAAAGACGTACATGCACATGCACACAGACAGACACACACACACATGTACATGCATTGCAAATTTGCATGCATGCACGCATGCATACATATACACAGACATACACGCATAACGTACAGACATCAACATAGATCCAGACATACACACATGCACACATGCAGACACACATCCGCCCACACACATACGCATTCTTCAAATATTCAGATACACATACACAACGCATTTACACACATGTCAACATATCTACGTGCCTGGTCGTGCCTGCATATCTGTATAAATGCACATATGTGTATTTACACACGTTTCGGTACACACACACACACTCACACACACACACACATATATATATATATATATCTATTTATGCACCCATATACATACACATACATGCATGCACACATGCACATGGGCACGCACGTAGTCTACGCTTTATGTATTAGGACGAGAGAAATGATGCAGCTGGTATTTTGCTCCAAAGATGGCTGTTAAATACGATGTGATGGGTGGCGGGGTCATTCAGGCGAGGGATCGATGATTGTCTGTTGCTCAGCACTCATGCAGCACTGTCAGGTTTCCCTCGCGGGTCCTCGTGATGGGCGGCGTTTCCACCAATCCTGTCAACAGCTTGTCGTCAACCGAGGCATTGGCAGTGTCAAACGGGTCCGGCCCATCCTCTTCCCACAACGTATTTCAATCTGATAGTCAGCACACCACAGACTGGAGCGAGATGTCAGCTGCACATGCCTTTGCACGAACACCTACTGCAGGAACTCACATCCAATGACAGATTGGATTCGACATCGGCGAAAAGCAACAGGTAATGCGACGACAGTCATACCCCCGAAAATCTTCATCCGTCACGAAAGCTCTCGGCCGTGAGCTTCTACAGCTAGCTTGTTGAGTAATTCTCTTTTGCCAAGAAAGTAAAGCCCCATGCGATACAGTCAAACCGGGGCGATATACATAGGTGCATGCCTGTTGGTGCGTGTGCGAAAACATGCGGGCACCGATACATGCACAGGGGAGCACAGGCATGGAGGAAGTAGCTCACGGGTACGTCGACAGGTGGTTCTGTAAGCATGCGCCGACATAGACGGGTGCACTTTGCATCGGAGAGACTTGTGCAGGTCTTTGACCCACGGCACGGCTCTTGGGAAGCCGGCCCGTCTTTGTTGGAACCTCGAGGCCCTACTGCAGACAACCAGACCGTCTTGTGGCAATGTCAGGTTGTGATTCAAGCACACTGCACTGGGGAAGCTGCATGGTTGAAATGATTGATGCTGACTGTCAGGGCATGCTGCCGTCGTGTGCAGTGCTGGCGTGGTGTATGTCATTGGTGGTAAGGCCAGCAAGGGCATCGGGGGCGATTACCCGCGCAGCTATCATTATTCCTCTTTCGGTTTATGAAACCAGCCGATCTGTTCCCTGTGACAGGATGGTCACCGAGCCCTTGCTTCTGTGGAGGAGTGCGCCTTTCAGGCTGCAGACGGCTGCAGGTGTGGTTTCGAGCAGATGAGCAAGGCAAGCCCAAGATGGCTTGCCAGGTTGGCTCACATATAAAGCCGCAAGGTGATGTATATAAAGCCGCAAGGTGATGTATGGCGATGTGACTGCAGGTACTGTGCGGAAATGCAGGTTTGGAGAAGTGCGTTTGGGTCTCGACTTCTTCGGATGCGATTTTGAGTCGTTGCTGTTCGCTGAAGAAAGAGCACCCAGGCCGGCGCTTGCCACTCCTCGCTGGGGTGCGGCTGCACGGCAGCTGGGAAGTCAGGCCACGAACTGAAAATCGCGGCAGACCTTGCCGTACTCGAATTCAGCCCCTGGCAGCCAGGTGTTTGTGATGGGCGGCTGCAGCGACACGGAGATGCTCCGAAGCTGCGAGAAGTTGCCAAGGCGCGCTTTGGCTTAAACTCCGAAGGCAGACTTGGGCAGGTTTAATTGCAACATCGCTGCATGGCTCCAGACTCCGGCTCACCGAAATCTTTGCCTCTGAAACACTGCGACCCACGACTTCCCTTCGCCACCTTCCTGCCGTGCCAGCTCAACAACCGGTGACCGCTGCTGGCAAACAGCTCTGGTCTCGGAGCCGATTTCCTTGGCGGTTGGATGACATCGCACTGAGCGCACATCCGACTCGAAGGCACCGCCTTTGATCCAGCGCAGGGCCCACTCAGCAGCAGCCGCCGGGTTCTTGACTGGCTAAGTTCACTGCCGCGCAGATGATTTTCGAACCCAGGTCCTGGATGGCGCTCTTTTCGTGATGGGAGGCTGGCCACCCTTAACTTAGCAGAGCATGTGATGATTGTTCCGTTCTGCGATGCCGCTCCTGCCCGCTGTGCCCGCTGCTCTTGCCAAAACTGTCCCGGTCTCTCGCATGAGAACCTTCGTCAGCAGTTCGGCTCCGAGTGGTCGTGGGTGGGGTGGCTGCTGCGCCCCCCCAAATTACCACCACGACAGAAGGCCTGGGATTCGGAAACTCAGCAGCGAAAATTCCAGCATAGACGTGTGTTTCAGTGTGGCACTTCGAGAGAAGGCAGGGGATAGAGTCACCTTGCCTGGGGTGTAGGGCTGTGCTTAGCATTGACTTGTAATCACTAATCGTAGTCGCAGATAGACCTTGTCTAGTTATGTCTAATTGCTCGCTTGGCAAGTAAGTTTGGTCGAGTCCCAATTTCGCGATGACTGAAATGGGCAGTCCCGTGCTCACTCACTCGCCCCATTCAGCTGCACCTAACAGATCGTGGCGCTGCGATCTTCCGGGGACTCAGAAGGCTCGTAGGGTGTGTGTGCGGTTGACAGCCGCAAAGCTCCATGCTTGTGAATGCGAGCTTTGGTTCTGGGAGAGGGAATGCCGCCGTGGTGGAAGCCTCGTGTGGCCTTGGTCAGGCGTTGGAGGGAGCGGAGGAGACCAAAGAGTTTCGAGGACGCTCAGTTCCACCGGCGCCCTGAAGGCAAATCTGGATGTCCACTTCCTGCGAGCTTCTTCCGAGGTTGATGCACGGAGGCACTTCGGCATGCTTTCATGACCTAGGCGCAACATGAAGAATTTATGGAAGTGGATATTCGACCAGCCAGGCTCTCAGGAGTGGTTAGCAATTTTTAACGACGAGCGTCAAGACGTGCGGATTGAAGCACAGACGATGCAGTGATCTGCCAGCGATGCCAGGGCCGTCTAGAGCTTCGGTACGTGCATAGCGAAGCTACTTGTGTAGATGTCCCTGTGGTAATTCGCCATACTCGGCTTTTGCAACTCGTCAGTAATGCAGGGCCAAAGTGTCCAAGTCGGATGACAGGGCTGACCAGGAACACGCCACTTCGCACGCTTAGGTGGTGGATTATGACGATCGGGTGGTATTTTTGCGCAGTTGCTGTGGCTGCTGGGCTGCGGGACGGTGGCATCACGTAGAATCGAAATCGGAAATAATAATGTTGCATGACCCGTGTCCGACAAGGTCGTTGCCGTCAAGCGCGAGAAGCACAAGTCCATGCTGAAACCTGGTCGTGCAAGATTGTGCTCGGAGCACAATATAACCACTGCCTGCATAATCCCGGAGCCTCACATGGAGCCGCATGTAGCCGTGTAGCCGCCAGACGTTCAGACAGCCCACAGCGAAGGACATGTGTCGCTAACTTGGCCATTGGTTGGCCATTGGTGGCACCGTTTGCTTGCTGGAAAGGATTGCGGAATGTGCGGGTCCATTTCAGCAGCATGGCGGCACGGACATACATTTCCACACGGCTTGCACCAGCATCCCTGCGCACAGAGCCAGGCACTGGGCCAGCACGTGTAAATCGAATTTTATGCAGGGCGGTAGAAATTGACAGTAGCCAGAAGGATGCACGGTTTAAGACGTGACGCTGGCTTGGAGACGTGCAGCTCATGGAAACATGCGACTGCGAGTGGCCCTCAGAGCTCGCAGTCAGAGACAGAAAAGACAGAGAGACAGACGCGCATTCGTGACGGTCTTTTGCCATGCCTCCTCCAGCCCAAACCTCTGAACACAGGCAAAGTGATGGCAATCGCAGTCCTCGCCGGGCTGGAGCGGAATTTGACAAATTCCTCCCTTTACAAGATCGGAGGCATTTGCAGACCAACTTGCTATGTCTCATTCTGCGACGCCGAATTGTTTGTGTGGTTGTGCATCACGAATATACATCAGACCTTGTTTCAGCTGGTGCCTACTAGAAAGAGCAACATTGTAATGCGCAAGGCTCGCTGAAAACCGCCCTGCACGGCTTCAATGTGCCACTGGCCTTTCTTATGGCGGCCCTGTGCGGAGTGGACGAGCTCGGACGGAGCTGCCTCTTGGGGTCACCCGCTTGCAAAGGGCGTATTCCGGAGAACCAAGACCAAAGTAAACTTGACAGGAGAAATTGAAAGATCTGTAGGTGTTCCCGACTCCGCTTGCGAGAATTTGCCGTCATGTTGGTACATTATGCAGCACTGTGCCAGCGCCTAACCCGTGAAAGTGACCTTGGCCTTGATCCAGCCATTTAAGCTGACTCGCTGGCCAGTGCCCAATGTCACAGCTAGCTCCCTTTGAGCTTGCCCGTGTTGTTGTTTACGGATTGGGTTTGGGCTCAGGGGGCTAGCTCCTGATACAACAGGGATCTAAGCGACAGCAGGACGGAGGCCCCTTCGCCAAGGGGTGCTATCATTCGGCAACATAGCTGTTGACAGGCACAAGCATCGACCTAGTGTGTAGGAGGGTCAACAAACATTTCAGAGTTGTTATTGCTTTTTCCGTTGCGGAGCGAGCTTTGCCTTGCGTCGTCCAGCGCAGGCTTAAGCGGCTCAGGCTTCATGATTCGGAACACAGAGGAAACATTCGCTTACCAGCATCTTCTCACATTCGCAATAATTACACAGTTGCCACTTCCTTCTCCCTAGCTTTCGGCCGCTTTTCTCTCAAGTTCACAAGCCCTCAGAGTTGTCCCACCCAGACGAAAGAGCCTCAGCGGAGTGGGGGCAGCCCAGAGCCCGCAAACAGACGGGTTTGCGCCGCAGGTGCGGATGCGGGAACAATCTGTTGTTGACCCTGGCGCTCGTCCTCATTGCTGCGGGCTCCATCGTTACTGCAGCCATCGGCGATGGTTCAGGCCTCCCATGTGTCCTAGTAAGCAAAGGATCACAGGAGGGAGCTACGGCAAACTGCCACGAGTGGACTTGGTGCTGACTGTGCAATCGTCAGGTGGCTCCTGGCATGGTGACCTTCTGGGCGTCTTCCTGCAGGCGCGAGCTCGATTGAGAGCTGGAGGACGGCGGACGTGGGGAGAGGTAGAAGCTGTGGCACCAAACACTCAAAAGGACAGAAGATTTAGGAAAGGGTTTTACATTTCCGCAACGTTGCTGCTTGGCCAACGAGGTCGCCTCTAGTGTGGCCTACGCCCTCAAGTTTGCGGTTGCGAAGATGCTGCCTCCCATCAGCAATGTTCAAGAAAGAAATAGCAAAGCCTCACGCCATTGCCACAAGAAACTGTCTGTGAAGCATGATGAAGTTGGCGCCACTGTCGTCGCAAAGTCGTGAATCAGGATCGAAGGCGCGTTATCTTCCTCTTGTTGTCCGCTGTCGCCGTAGATCCTGAGATCCACAATGACATGTCTCCGTGTTGGGAAGTGGGAAGTACGAACGTTGATGACCAGGTTCAATTCCGGCGATCCGCAGAATGCAGCGGGCGTGGACCCAGGCTCTCTCCCTCCCTCGAAGGACCAGATAGCCTTTGTCGTCAACCCGGTCACAGGCCCACAGCTTCTTGTGGAATGATTGTCAAGGGCTTCCATATTGCTCCATACATACCGAGCTCCTGTTGCTCTATGTGCGGCTCATGTTCAGGATTGATGAGTCTGCTCTTCTTACCTTTCTTCGAAAGCAATTTCGCGCTTCCCTCCGTGGATTCCGCTGTGGTCGTCGGGATCTGTGCCACGGGCATTTTGGTGTTTGAGCTGCTTCTGACCGAGCTGACGTCTCCACTCACAGTGTGGGCGCCTCGGAAGTCGCTTCCCGTGGTTGACAATTTGTCAATCATGCACCAGCATCCATGTCGGGGATGCCGGCGTGAACAAGGTCTGTGCTGGGGGTCATGCACAACGTAGTGATCGTCGTCTTCTTCACACTCACGGGGGAGAGGATGAGCACTGGACAGGCCGCCGGTGCACAGACGCTCCTGAGTGGGCAAATTTCAATTTAGTGTGAGCGCTCAGTCAGCCGTCGCAGTCCTGGCTTTGCTTCTCATGTCGGGAGGTTCTGCGATCATCTGCGATCGGCAGTAACAGAAGTATAAGCTGATACGAAATTCGGCACACCCGCATGCCAGGTTGCCGGCTTCACAGTCTCGACTGCGGGGGCGATCTGCTACGCGTGTGCACGCAAGCGGCAGGCGGGCCGCCGTCGCCCTCTCTGACGAGAAAGCCACATTCGGGAAATCCGTGTATTGCAAATGCCATCTCTAAGAGCCAGCATTGGAGGTCTGTGTTGCAGACTTGCGCTGCCTTGCTACCTTGACCTCCTGAGCTGCGGCCTCTCAGGCAAAGCGGGGAGGTCTGCTAACCTCGAGATCAGAGGACGGTGCAGAAGTGCACTTCGGGTGCATGCAACAAAGACAGCGACGTCCGCGCAAGCGCAGATGGACGTTATTGGGCGTTTGTTTTTATGTCTGTTTACCTGATGGCCTACCTGCCTGCCTGCCTGTCAATCTGTCTTCTGTCTGTGTGTTGCAGGTCTGTGTTTTTGTGCGCAACTCCCTCTGTTTGTGTGTGCACGCATGTGTTTGCACGGGCCGGCCTGTCTGCCCCTTGATTCCTGTATTTCCTGCTTACTTTCCGCTTGACAAGCCTTCCTCGTTGTTTCGTAGATTGTTTTCGCAAGTTTCGTTTCCTGGAGTTTGTTCATCACTTCTGCGCTTTTATTCGAGGGAGGCGCTGCTCGAGACGATTCACAAAAATAATAAAGTGTTAGCTTGGCAGGAAATGCGGCGAGCAAACTCTGGTGTCGAGGAGGGCATGGAGGAGCTGTAGTGAGCCGTCCCTATTATAGGCTCTTGTGCATAGTCGGCAAGGCCGCCTGAATCCCTGTAATCCGGAGCCCTTAAAGCCAGAAAGCGGGGTGCACCACACATTCTCTCCTTGCTGGCTATATCGTGCGAAGACTGCAAAGCAGCCCACGTCTAAATTTAGCCAGCATCTTAGCTCTGCTGTCCAAGACGTGATCATTACTGTGACGCAAGATGGTCCGCAATGCCTTTCTGGTTTGCTGTGCCGCTCAGGACAGAAACAGCATATAGGCTTCGTTTATTTGGGTGGGTGCGGAAAGCCCCAAGCCCATTGCAGGCAGCACTGGCTCCGAGATGACATGGACGGCTGAGCGCTTTGACGCGGAGGCCCGCAAGCTCTCGTCATCTCAGGTGTTTCTGGCAAAGCCGGAGGCATTTCTCAATCACAAGGTTTTTTTTCAACTGCTGGAACTGGAACTGTTGACTGTATTGACACTCGAACTTCCTGTGCTGAGGCCTGCTGCTGGACCATTGAGCCAGTCCTGCCACAGGCAGCCGAGTGTACCGAACACACGTGATCGCAAGTAGCATTCGGGTATCAGTTATTGGGTTCTACGTCTCATCCTCCAGCCGGAGTTGTTCCTTTCGCCTGGGAGTTTAGAAGTCCTGCTTTGGAGGTGCCTGTTCGTTTGGGAGCAACCCTGGCCTGCTCCTCAAAAGTCGATGATGGAAGCTGCTTATTTTCGTGGCATGCGGGCCCGGACGTGGGGCCGGTTGAAGGTGTGGAGCGTTCAAGGTCTGGTTCGGCCCTCAATGTCGCCACTTTGTAGGAATACAGCAGTGGACCTGCCCGGCAGGCCGTAGGCAGCAGAGGTTGTTCAGACTTTTGAAAGACAGCACGAGCCGCGACACTGGCATGTTTGGCAGGTGTCTATCGGCGGTGTGCTCGGAGGGCAGTCCTGCCCAACGGCCTGCACAGAGTGCGGCATGCTCAGGCTTCAGCCACAAGTAAGGCAAAGGCGAATCCATTGGATGTTCCGCCACAGCCATGCAGCAACAGAGAAAGTTTATCCCGGAATCCATTCTGGTCGCATGGCTTGAGGCTTGACGTTGCAGCGCCACGGAGCGACTCTGTGGCTGCAGATTCCGAGCTGGAGGACACTCTGTCAAGATCATGTTGGATATCAGATTCTGCTACTCTGCTACACGGGCGCGTGCCCACGGGCGCGTTCGGAGCAAGTCCGAACTGGAATCAGTTCCATCAAATTTGCCTCAGCTACCATCGTCAGAACCTCTCAGATTCTGACTCACTGACTCACGCGATTCCTTCGACAGTGATTATCTGATGAGTTCTGACGACAGTAGCTTAAGCAAGTGAATGCAAGTGAACGGCCTTGCGATGGAGGCGACTTAGGGACTGACTCCATAAGTGTACCTTGCACTTGTTGGTGCTGCAGCCGGAGTAGAAGACGTCATATAACAGCATCATCTTATTTATCGTTAGTGTCGGACCAAGGCAGAACCGGCAAGGTCCAGGTGTTCCTGCTCTTTCGCTCCAGGATACCTCGCTTGTCGCCAGCAGTCATCACTTCTTGCGAGGCAGGCTGCATCCTTTTTTACGAAGGCAGTGGTGCTAGCATTTCATAGGGTATATAACCAATGATGCTTGAAAATGAGAACGAGCATTATCATCGAGTCATCGTCTTTCGGAAGTCTTGAGTGAGAAGCGACGGGTCGACGCAGTTCGCGGCCAGGGCAATATCTTCGTCATGGGCGGGAGCCACAAGAAAGAGGCGCCGGCTGCACCTGTCACGAGTCACATCCGTAAGAGTTTCCTTGTCTTCGGTTCTTGTTGTGCACATCTAACTACAGGTGCAGTATCGCATATGGTGATCAGAACCGGGTTTTGCTTCTGAGGCGAGCCGAATTGTTCGGTCCACTGGCTGTAGTATCCCGGCAGGCCTCCAACTTTACGGAAATGTGGGTGCAAGAGCAGCAATGCTGGAGAGCAGCCGCCCAAGAGAAGAACCCGTCTGGTAAGTGGTCACTCTTTAGGAGTGGATTTCCTCAACAGACTACGGCTGTACTTAGGAGCTGCCTCCGATGCTGGCCGCCCGTGAGGGTGCTTTTGCTGCTGTACTTCGGTGAACGCATGAGGTCATCCCACTACTTTCACAAAAAAACCCAGCAGTACGAGCAGCAAAGCATGCGACGCAGGCTGCGGCAAGCAGCAGGCTGTAGCCTTTGCACGAGCATCCCGAAAACTTCTGAGCCTGGGTCATCACGTGCAAGATGTGAGAGCAGCCAATAGTCTTGAGCCTTCCGCAGCTCGACTCTTTGATATCCAGGAATATCCAGGATCCCATTTTAACTATGGTTGCGATGGTTCAGGGCTACCATGGCCCTCAGGTCCGCTCAGGTCCCCTCAATCCCTGAGAGAGCCAGATCAGAGCCAGGTTGGAGGTTTGTCGGCTGATGATGCGTTCAGCCCTGTGAGCTTGTTGCTAATTAGTCTTGTGTTCTCGTGTAAAGCTGTAAACTTCGACACGGATGAACCTCAGCACATGTCGGAGCCATGAGCTTGGGCTGCCGAAGCAGCTGCTTCACCTTTCTGTGGCCCGGATCGAACTTTTGTAGACCATCATAGCACTGCTGGCCCCGGTAATGGCTGCACCAGCATCCGCAAGATTTCAGCTCGGTGGCAGCGACAAAGCATGCGGGGAATCTGTTGGAATCTGTCAGCGAGGCGCCCCCTCCATTCTCCGAAAGTGTGTTTCGAGGTATGTGGTGCTTGTGCAGTGCGAGCGAGCATATCCACTGATACCGCATCTGGCGCTTGAACGTTCGCAGGCAGGAATGGGTGACGGGTGGAAAGCAGCAACACCGGGAGAAACGAGCTTGTGTAGTACTTCTTGTGAGAGCATGCGCCACAGAACTGCCGGCATGTTGAAGCAGACGGCGTGAGCTCATGCCAGCTGGCAGTTGTGGCATTCTCTGGTGATCTGATGTACTGCCAGTCTGTCAGTGATGCTCCTTTATCTCCTTCGGCCCTGCAGAAGCCGGTTTTCGGCAACTCCAGCGCGGTGTCTGCAGCATGGCAGGCACCCCGGCACATCCTCCTTACATAAACGTCTAGATCTGGCTTCGATGTGGGAGTTCCAGCATCCTGGGAGCCAGGGTTCGGCTTGCCTTCAGCGTTCAAGAGTTGCCATGAGCACGGTCTCTGACTGTCTCTGACAGGCTCAGATCATTGGAGCAAAGCGCCGGGCTCTAAAGGCCGCCCCAGCGTTTCCGAATGCGGAAATCTCGGGCAAAGACTGCTCCTGTCGATATCTGGGCCAGGCTGGCAGCCGCCCCTGGCGGCCGCACTCACCATTGGCAGTGCCGGCAGCTGGGTGGAGGTTTCGGTCAGGACACTGGGTGAGGCTTGTAAGCTTTGGAAAGCTTCAAGACCTGAAGCGTGTGGGCACGGGAGAAGTGAAGCGCAAGGCAGGAAACGAGAGTCGGCAGTCAGCAGGAGCAGGGACTTTGGAAGTTTGTTAACCGTAAGCAAAGAAGGCCAGCAAACACGCGAGACCTGGCGCGGTGCCTGAGATTCAGTTTTGTTTAAGAGTCTAGAGCGGAGGCCTTTGAAGGTTTGGAGGTTTGGTTTGGACGACTTCTTCGTTATGCGTGCGAAGTCACAGTCAGAGTCTCAAAGAGTCTTGCGCAGCTCAGACCGGCTTCGGCGCGGCAGAGGAGGCAGAGTTGCTCCTCAGTAAGCAGAACGAAGCATGCAAACTGTGTGGGCTGTGTTTTTGTCACGCCCCGGCATGCTTCACGCAGGGTACCACTTGCTTAGGTCTGCAGGTCGGTTTGGTGCAGGTAGCATGGTTTCTCGATAGAGCTTCCCTGAAAGCCACGGCAGAATTTCGTTCATCTGTACGAGGCCCAGAACCGGCACCGCCATCGTCCTCTACCCCGCACATGATTCAAGCGTAACTGTCAGCGACCTGTCTCCAAAGACCGCTCGTTGAATTGTTCAAGGATGATGTTGTTCGGTCGCTTTTCTCAGTCAGGGCAAACAAGTATTCGATTTCGTCCACAAACAGTTTCAGAGAATGGAAGAAGTAGTAGACGAGCCGGGGTGTGTGCCCAGTTAAGGCGTTGACGGCCGCATCCAGTGCGTGCTTGAGCTGGAGAGGCTGTTCGCTCGGCGATATTTCTGGCCAACCCTCGAGGCTCCGTGGCCCGAGTCGGAGGATTTATCGAGATGAGGGCTGAGGGGTTAACTAGAGTCTGGGGTCGCAGAATATCATTTCAGCTGTACATTGCCTCCATACCATCATGATTTCCAAGCATGACGCCACAACAGTTGGCAAGCAAGCTTGCCGAGGCATGTCAGCTGCAATCACGCAAGCAGCAGAGATCGTCATTCTTTTATACGCTTTTGTTTAACCTCCAGCTGCCCCGGTTGTACGACAATCCACACCTCAATGCTGATGGATGCATGTGAGATTCCCGTGCCGAGGAAGAACGGAAGGTGTGGAGAATGGCCTTACACTTCGTGCGGGACCGGTGTCACTGCGAGACACAGCCATGTCCGACCAGATGCCTGGTGCCATCAGAAGCTGTTGTTTTGTGTGTTCCGCAAATATTAGAGCTGATGAGCGACATCTATGAGCACGCCCTGCCCAGCTCCTTTTGGACTATACTGACTATACATGACGAAAATGCACCTGGGAGAAATGAACTGAGGCTTTGACTACGGTGCTGTAGTCCTGTTTTCGGCAGATCCCAGCACAGATCGGGTGGAGTACTCCCAGCTGCCTCGCATTGTTGAGGATGCCGGCAGCTCGGTCGTCCAGAGCTCCTAAGCCTAAGCCATGTCGTCTCGTCTTCCAGAAAGGCAGTTGTGAGAGCAGCAGGGGGATGGCTGCACTCGAAATCTGAAGAGCGCTGGAGGTCTTCGAAGTTCGCCAGTGGCGGCTTGTTGACCATCACGAAGCTCATGCGCGCATGAGCTTCTTGGACGCAGCGTTCCAAGTTGAGCACCCCCAACTGGACTTGGAGAGAAGCCCAGCCTGGGATTCAATGCCGAGGTTTCCACGATTCGCGCTTCAGTTCTGCACTTGTCGTGAGCTTCGACGGCAGTGGGAATGATGGCAGCGTGCCGAAGACTTATAAGGGTGCCAAGCCAATCTGCCAGAGTTTGCGGATCGTTCCATGTGGCCCAGTCTTTCTGTTCATGTTTGTTGGTGCGTGGAAGCAGCGGCTGGCAGAAGCAGTACTGTAGCAGTGGCGGCTTCCAGGCGCATCCAACCATACGGTTACGGTGTCGGTGAGCCACAAGCCAATTTCCAGCGATCCCTCTAACAACTGAGAAGAATGCCTGCTTGAGCCGTCGGCGCAAGGCACCTTCAATGTTTACTTTGGGAGTGGTCGGCAGCTGTATCGACTTGGCCAGCTCGGCTTCCAGCTTGGATTTCGAGACTTGGCCAGTAAAGCTTTGTCAACTGGGCACTCGCGCTCTGGCAATGGCAGTCTCAGCTGACTGCGGGCAGGTCTGCTGAAGCTGTTCTCAAGGTGGTGCCACGAGGCATTCCTTCTAGCCACGCGTGCAAGTAGCTGAGGATACACGACCCTGGCGGCATTCTTGATGCACCGCTGCATTGGCTGGTCTAGGCTACAGGGCATTGCCTTCCGGAGTGCGAGCCGCAGGAACGGACAGAAAACAGGTCTCGGCGGCGGGCTTCCGCAAGTCCCGAAAAGACACTGCTTGTGTTCAATCCGCCTTGCAGCAAGACCTCGCGGACAGTTCGGGTGGAGCACGAACTGTCACAGAAAGCTTCCGTGCATAGACCTGAAGAGCAAGGACAGAAATCTCGCAGCACAACTTAGACACTTGCTGCAAGAACTTCACCGAAATAGCGGCCTGGCATCCGATTACGCAGCTCATGGTTTCTTGCCGTGCACGCCGCGTTTTGCGAGTTGGCGCGCCGTGAATCCACAAACAGGCCGAAGCAAAGTCCTTCGCGCCGCAATCGCTGGTCAATCTTCACGACTACAAGTTCACTCTGCTGCTAGGTAATTGTTGGCGTGATCTGGGTGTCAACTGTCTGTCGGGCTTATGCCGTTTTGGCCAATGCGCACCTTAGTGACCATGGGGTTTTGGATCTTCTGGGGTTGGCGGGGTCGGAGGGCGGGCTAGTGATGTCCACTTGGCCGGCCACTCGTCCTGCGCGTCGTGTCCAGCAGCAAGACCACCGCCATCGTCCTCTTCAGCAGAATACCCTCTAAAGTACTGGGGCACATTTTGTACGTTGGCGGTGTGGCAGCTTCTCCGGTATATTCGTCTATAGTGTATGAATGTGGATCATTGCATGTCTACCGGCCACGCCTCTTGCAGCACAGTTTTTCTTCGATGTTCCGACTCAATGCTCAGAAGCAGCTCTTCACGGAGCTTAGTCGGTTGGCCGACTCCAAGAACAACAAGAAGTGAAACACACGACCAACAAGAAAGAGTGCAAACATAAATCCGCTTCGCCAACCTACAAATCCCACAAAAAATCGTAATTTTTCTTGCCTCCTCGAACCAACGCCTGGCAAAAATGGTGTATTCTAAGCGTCCGATACAAGCCGCTTAGTCGAGCTTATGCACAAAACCCAACGTTTCCCCACTTTTGGTCAAAACGCCGGCACCATGGATGGTGCCAAACCACCATGGTCACAAAGGCGCGCGCTACCTTTAGCTTCAACTTGGCAGTTGGAAGCCTGCACGCTGGGGGAAGCTGAAACTTGCATCTACAAAAGGGCCGTGATATTTCATCAACGAAGCCCCGGTGGGGGGAGGGGAGGCTATGACATCTACGTCATGCAGCGATGAAAAGCTGCTGCTGCTGCATGATGGGTGTTGCAACAAACAGCTGTTCCACGTTGGTGGAAAGTCTCCATCGCCAGATTTCATGGAAACCGGTTTCCTGACGTCTGTCCGAGGCTTGATCATATGGGCTGGGCTGGAAAGATGATGGCCTACGCAGCAGCCCTGCAGAAGTGGATGTTGTGTGTACGGTTGCTCTGTCGTGTGTATATTGTATATAACTGTATGTAAGTATACATGTATATAGTATGTATGTAAACCTAAAGCATTAGTCATGGAGGTACAGACG